CTGCCGTCCTAATGATGGCTACCCATCAGCACAGCAACAAGGGATCGTTCTCTTTTTCTTGATCAGAAAAACTGCTTAAGGTCGTGCATCCCTGGCATCTCAATAAAATTTCGCTATAACAGAGATAATACAACAATCGACAGATGTACTCAAAATGGCTGTAAGAAGTACAACTTGAAAAACTGTGAAAAAGAGAGGTTTCTGCGAAGATAACTAAAGTTGGCGTGGCAGTCAACTGAGCAAACGATTTACAGCAGTCAAGAAAACATTCAGATTATTACGGCACACAACAACAACATTTTCATTTTGCTCATAGTAAAAGGCTGTTCCATTCAATCCTACAACTGTGACTGGAAATGAAAGCGGTATGATGAATGCATGGCGTAGCGTAGAAAAATTTACGTAGCACTACGAGTATTCCCGTTTTGGCGTAAAAACAAGCAAAATTCCTTCAAAATTTTTTTTTCCATAATTTGTGCATGTTTTCACACACATTTTTTCATAAAAACTGGATCCTCAATAAATGCGCATGCACTCGCATGCCTATTCATTTCAGAGGCCCAAACAATCTGAATCAAACATGGAATGATTGCTTACGGGAAAAAAATTTTTTTGAAGGAATTTTGCTTGATCCAGGAGAACATACAGTTCTATGTTATTCACATTTCCCTTCATTTGTTAGGACTTGTTACTTCAGCAAGCACACGGACGATCCAAGTTGGGATGCAACACAGGCAGATTATCCTACATACTTTAAATATTTGACCTCTTCACATGGCAAGAAGTTTTTACCACATTATCTTCACAACTATTTTCCCTACTACCATACATTAAATTCCATCCTTTGTATTCAGCAATAGTGGCTTTCCTTCATTATGGCCCAATACTTCATACAGTAAGCTTCGAGCAACTTACGGCCGCATAACATACCACTTTACAGCTATGATCTTTCTGTCAACTCGACACGGCATTATCAATTTTGGCTGAGCTTCTTTCGCTCTTTATTTTCTTCCTATTATCTTGCAAGGTGGCAAACATAAAAAATACTTACCGCAACCCAGTGAGCGCAACTCGGCATTCTGGGTGTAATACTGGTTGAGGTCGGCCATTCGTCTGCTCAGCTGTTCCACCGACATGTCATACCCATTCTTGTATTTCCACTCGGCTGCCTCAATTTGAGCTCGCTTCACTTGAAATTTGCTGTCTGCTAAATCTCGACAGATGTTACAACGCCCACCGGACTCATAATCTTCGGCTTTTTAACATATTTTCTCTTGACAAACTTGGTATAAGTCAAAGTTGAGACCGCAGCACACAACAGGCACTGAAGGCGCTCAGAACTGGTTCCAGTGGCAATGCAGAGCCAGCAAAAAATCATCTACAGCTACAGGTACTGATACATCTATCTTCTGAGGGCTGTTCAAAAACAAAAAAAAAAAACAGCCGTTTTAACTCCAGTTTTCCTCTTCCCCCCCCCCCCCCCCCCCCCCCCCCCCCCCCCCCCCC